GGCTAACAATGTCCCAAATTTGATGAAAAGCATTTACTTAAGAACTTCCAAACATTTTAAATACAATAAGCACTGAGATCCATACCTGAACAAATCATAGTCAAACTATAAAAATCCAAAGACAGAGCCTTTAGTTAGAAAGAGAAAAATGGCTCTTCACATACAAGGAATCCTCAATAAGATCTATGGTTGACTTTACATCAGAAACTATGGAGTTCAAAAGTCAGTGGGATGACATATTCAAAGTGCTGAAAGGAAAAAAAAACCACACTATCAACCAAGAATTCTATATCTTTAAACTGTCCTTCAAAAATGGAAAAATTCAGTTATTACAAGAAAACAGAAAAGAGAGAGTATGTAACTAGCAGACATGGTAAAGGGAGTCCTTCAGGCTGAAATAAAAGGATGCTAGACAGTAGCTGGAATCCACATAAAGAAACATAACTACATAGGTAAATATATGACAGTAAAAATGTATCTTCCATTTGTAACTCTTCTATCTGATTTCAAAGACATCTAAATTAAAAAGTAATCAATTATAAAACTGCTGATGGGCTTATAATGTATAAAATAATGCAAGTAATATATATTTATATATATTACTTGCATTATTACTAGTATATGTGAAAATAATAGTACAAAAGACAGAGGATGGAATGGAGCTATTTTGAAGCAAAAATTTCATATGCTATACAAATTAAGTTGATATTACTTTAAGTTATATTATTTTAAGTTCAGATGTTCATTAGATAACACCCAGAGCAATCACTTAAAAAAAAAAGTGTGAAAATATGTAAAAGAAACAGGGTAGGTCTTAAGGATTTTAGGGGCTGGCATTCAGGATAATTATTTAAGACACTGCTAATCTAAAATTCAAGGTTTAAGTTCCTGGGACAGAAATTTGTCCTAGTATGGGTCATGCCCACTATTGTGGTCAGAGGAGTGGGGTTTCATGACTGGAAGAACTCTAGAATTGCATGAGAAAGACAACAGTAGGCATTTTCCCAAGGTAACCAGAATTTTTATTCAAAAAGAAAAATTAACTACATATCCTAATGGGCAATTTGTAGAACAGATATGTCAAAAGAGAAAGAGAGAAAACATGAGCAGCTTCACTAGTAGTAAGTGAAATACAAATTAAAGGAACAACAAACTACCACTATTTACTTATAAGAATGGCTAAAATTATGCAGAGCAAATTGTTACAGCCTTCTAGAAGGCAATCTATTAATGTTGTAAATAGATCAATTTCATTTCTAGGAATTATTCCCTCAGAAATTAAAGTACCAGGGCATTTGGATACACATATAAGAATGTTTACTTAAATATTAATGGCAGTGGCAATTAAAAACAATAATCTGAATGTCATAAATAGGAAACTCTAGATACATCCAAAACATTATACAGCCTCTAAAATAAAAGAATGAATTAGAGCAACACCAGTTAGTTTGAAAGTATTTTTATGACTTATTATTAAATGAGAAAAGCAAGAAGTAAACAAGTGTATATACTAACCTAATAAATCATATCTTACCTAATAAAGAGGGAATTTGCTAACTGACCCTCATGCTGTCGTAAAGATGGAGACACCCACAGCCAACAAGGAAGGAATATGCTAATTGACTGCCACACCCTCAAAGATAATGGCACCCACAGCCACAAGATGGTAGCACCTAGTCCCCTCAGCCCTGCTGGGGTGCCTGCCTCCACAGTCCCCCAGCCCTCTCAGCCCCCCAGCCTCCCAGGGCCACCCAAGGCTCAGGTAACCAGGGCTGGCTGAGGTTTGCACTGCCAGCAGTGGCAGCAGCAGAGGTGTGATGGGGGCATCGCCTTCCCTGATCACTGGGTCACCTCCTGCTCCTGTGGGTTCTCAGACCACGAGAGGGGGAAGGCCAGGTTGAGGAACCCCCCCACTCCAGTACATGAATTTTCGTGCACCAGGCCTCTTGTATACATCCTATATAATAAAGAGATAATATGCAAATTCACTTTCACATCCTTGCACAAGATGGCTGACCCAATGTCGTCAAAGATGGCCACTAATGATGGCCGGCAGGGGAGTGTAGTTGTGGGCCATCAAGCTAGCAGGGGAGGGCAGTTGGGGGGGGGGGGTCAAGCCTGCAGGGGAGGGTAGTTGGGGGGAACTGGGCCTGCAGGGGAGGACAGTTGGGGGCAATCAGGCCAGCAAGGGAGCAGTAAGGCACCAATCAGGCTGGCAGGGGAGTGGTTAAGGGTTGATCTGGCTGGCAGGCAGGCAAGCAGTTGGGAGCCAGCATCTTGGATTGTGAGAAGGATGTCCAACTGCCAGTTCAGGCCCGATCTGTGGGTCCAAGATTGAAGAGTGCAGGCTGGGCTGAGGGACACTCTCCCTCCAGTGGACAAATTTTGTGCATCAGGCCTCTAGTGTGTGCGCACATACATGCACATACATGTGCGCTCACACACACATGTATATACATGCTTAACTTTTTAAATAGGAAGAGGAAGAATAGTAAGGGTAAAATGAGGTAAGAAAAGTCAAGACTAGAAAAGAGGGTTCCAAAAGAAAACAGCATGCGTGAGTGCATGTGTGTATATATGGATGGGCATGTGCATAAAGAGATGTGAGAAAATATAATTACTAAAACAATTACAGTGGCTATTTCAGGTGTGGGGATTTACTTTCTTCCTTATGCTTTGCCCAGTGGGGATGAAGATCAGTCAGAAACACACCTCGCTTCGCAGGCTCTCACAGTTAACGGGAGACAAGAGGACACAGCCAGCTGTACCATACACCCAAATGTAGTGAAGTATAGTAACAGAAACACAGAATGCTGGGAAAGAGGTATTAATTGATCTCACAGATCTGATTCAGAAGATCTGGAAGAATTTCACTAAAGAAAACATTTGAGTTGTCTTGCAGGCTTGGGAGCAATTCAACAGGTAAAGTTTGGGGTAAAGAGAAATCCAGGATAAAGAAACAGGGTGAGCAAAATAAACGAGGGCATTAGAAAGTCTAGGTGTATTCGAAGAACAGCAATTGGCCTGTCTCAGTATAACTGGAACACAGGTGTTGAACAGACAGAAGGAAGGTTGGACAGGTAAGCTGTTTCCTAGCTGTGAAAGTAGACTATTCTAATTGCCGAGGGGAGCTCCACAGATTTATGTGCAGGGGCTAGAGGAAATGTTTTGTTGGTTTTGTCAGGGGAGTGACATTCGTAAGTCTGTGTTGGGGGTGGGGAGAGACAAGAAAACCAGTTAGGAAACTATTGAAATGGTTCTGCCGAGGGTAATCCAAGTCTAACAAGAGCAGCAATGCGGGAATGCAGAGGGGAAAGATTCCAGAAACACTTCTAAGGTAAATAGGGCATGCCTTGGCGGAAGATGGGAAACTTTCGGTGCCTGGCAACTGAAGTTGGGGGCACTCCAATCTGAGAAAGAGAACACTGGGGTGGGAGGTGAGAACCACACTCAATGAAAGGTTCCACTATCTCGCAGGACATAGAGGGAATGGTGTGAATAATGGGCTAAGAATCCGCAGAGAAATTCTGAGGGATCAGGAGATCGCAGATATCAAAAGGACAAACCCTAAATCCAGAACCACAGAACTGAAGATCTGAAGTCAGACTCTTGGCTTGAGTTTCTCTGTAGTATGGAGTTCGGTTTTTAACATTTCAGGTCTCTGGTCAGCTGTCGTAAGGGATAGGTGAACCCACAAGCCTTCTGAAGGAGAACAATCCTACGGAGGAGGATTACGACCCCCTCGGCTTTCCAAAAGAAAGGGTTTGCCTACATAGAAGGAGAGCTCTGCGAAGAGTTGTAGACATCATTCTTGCTCTTGGAAAAGCTAGCTTTTTGTTCACTGCTTTGGAGGTCCTTTCTTCCTCTTATTTTCCCCTCAGTTGAACCTGTGGGAAGAATTCTTTTGGGTAACATTCTGCCTAAAACATCTACTATTACTACTATCCTGTTGGACTGTAAGTGGCCACACCTGGCTTCCCTCCCTTACCCCCTCAGAGGCCAAGAGCTTCCTCCAGACCACTTGTGTCAAACACAAGGCCCGAGGGCCAAATCCGTCCCGCCAGGCCTGGCAATGTGGCACGCACCGCGCTGTCATCACTGCACTCCGCTGCGTTTCCATCACAATGACAGTTTATGACTGTTCAGTAAACCATTCGGCCCGCGATTTAGGCTGGATTTTAGATTTTGGCCCCTTCTCTGATTGAGTTCGACACCCCTACTCCAGACAGTAGTAAAACGTGGGATTTCCCAACCAGCGTAAAAATAAGTGAAAACACACAAGTCTAACTAGGTTCCCAAGACCCTGACCAGACCTCTCACCCTATATAGCTTCTTCAGGGTGCCTTAACCAAAGGTTCAGGCATCCTTTGAATGGGTGGACATCTGTTGGTGGCTGCCTGTTAGCATTCCTGGGGAAAGCAATGTGCTTGTCTTTCTGATTATAAAAGCACAAACTCAAGGTAAAGAATTTGGAAAACCCAGCCCTAACCAGTTTGGCTCAGTGGATAGAGCGTCCGCCTGCAGATTCAAGGGTCCCAGGTTCCATTCCGGTCAAGGGCATGTACCTTGGTTGCAGGCACATCCCCAGTGGGGGGAGTGCAGGAGGCAGCTGATTGATAATTCTTTCTCATCGATGTTTTTAACTCTCTATCCTTCTTCTTCCTCTCTGTAAAAAAAAGAAAAGAAAAGAAGAAAAAAGAATTTGGAAAACCCAAACAGTATAAAAATAAAAACGCTCATTGGTTACCCTGAAATTAAAAAAAATGAGTATTGGCATGGAATCCTTCCAGTGTTGTTACTGGCCTGGTGTTGTTACTGGCCTGTGGTGTTGGGGAGCCGAACCTGAGGCTCCGGGGCCGCAGGGCCAGCCCCAGAGGCAGCCGCTGGCGGGAGGCCCGGGAAGGGACGCCGCCGCCGGGAGGGAGGCGCGGGCCGGGCTAGGCTGAGCGGGGCGCCCGGAGGCGGGGCTGCCCCCGGGGACCCGGCTGGCGGCGGAGCGCGCGGTTGGATGCGAGCCCGGGGCGCGCAGTCCCCAGGAGCCGGGCAGGTGGTGCCAGCTTCCCCGCCGGCCGAGCGCCGGGTCCGGACGCTCCGAGCGGAGAGGAGCCAGGGAAGAGGCGGGAGGCGCGGCCGCTAGGGACCGGCCAGGGGCTTCCCCGCGGGCCCCGCACGCTCCGCGGTCTCTCCGCCTCCACACCCTGCTGCCCGGCGCGGCGATGGGCACGGCTCCCGCCCCTGGCCCTGTCCACGCCCTGGCCGGTCCCTTCCAGCCCCACGAGCCCATGAGCGACCCGGGCAATGAGAGTTTGACGCTTCTCGGCGGCCGGGGACCTGGCGAGGTGAGCAGCGCGCCCTTGAACTTGTCCCCAGTCTGCCTCGCAGGGGCGCGTGAACCCCAAGGTGCAGGGGGCAGATAGGAGGGGCTCCCTCTCCTCCGGGGCTGTGAAGTCCTAACTGCAGAAAGTTTTATTGCTTAGTGGCCTGTGGGACTGCGTTGTTCTGAGAATCGCCCGGGAGCTGCTGCATCCTTATTGCACCAGTTGCCAGCTTAGCTCTCTCAGCAGCTAGGGGCCACCTGTGAGAGCTCGCTGTTGGAATGGTGCATACCTAGGTACGCATGCACTCCCGAGGAACACGACCTTGAGGTTTCTCTGTAGTACTGAGTTCTGATGTTCACATTTCAGAATTGAAATCTGCGGTGAGTGAAGTCATGGCATGATGCTCTTACTCTTCCCTTTGTTGGTTTTGTAGCTAAGTGTGCGCATGGATAATAGGTAAATTATGCCCTACCCTATAATGAAACGCCTTTTCTGATGGAGTCCTTTGAACCAGGATACGGAGGATAACACTACATGATCGCAGCCCTCCATAAAAGGGAAAGATGTTCAGGATTAAAAGATGGAAAGAATGGTTGAGACAGATGTATTAGGCAGCAAGGCCTGCAGAGGAAAGTGAAGTTTTCTGAACCACTGGCGAAATGCAGCCCAGAAGGCTTCCCTGAGGCTGGGCAGGAGCCGGGCTTGCAAAACAGTAGCTTCTTCCTTTGCTGCCGCTGGAGCAGCCGGTGTGTGCAGCTAAGTGGCAGTGGAAGTGATTGTATGAAGTGTGAGGCAGTTTGCATCTGGAGAATAAAATGCCTTGGCAGGTTTTGCTTGAGTTAGGGATCTCTTGGGGGTGGCAGTGGCTCTCTGGTCCCCATTTTGCCAGCCTTATTCCACTTCAGGGCCACCACTGTCTCTGAAGTGCTGCCTGTATTACCCCCTTCTCTTCTACCACCAGCTTTTAGCTTCCCCCCTGTTCTGTTCTGTTCCTCAGTCAAGTCTAGAGTCGAGCCTGGAGTTACGGTAGCTTGGGGATAGAGAAATTGTGAGAGCAGAATTGTGGTCTAGGAGAGACCCAGAGGTGCAGTGGGATGAACCACTGACTTCCAGCCTAGAAAGCTCCCTGAAGAGTGGGAGAATAATGACAGAGGGACAGACATTCTCTGGGAAGGACAATAGGTGGTGCTTAGCAGTTTGTTTCTTGCTGAGGGTTTTAAGATTTTGTTGCTGTTGTTTGACCATAAGGGCATTTCCAGATGGGGTGAAGGGAGGATGGGGAGTTCTCTGGAAAGTGCCCTCCCATTCCCATTTTATTCCACTCCCTTCCAGGTTTTCAAAAAGTGACTGGGGGCAAAGGGGAAGATGAAGGAATCACTGAGGCTCGGGCCATGCCACAGAGACACGGGACGTGGACAGTCTTGGGCAGAGAAGTTGGACATGAAAGCTGAAAGGAATGCCCTTCCTTTAGTTACAAATCCCAGCCTCTATTTTGCACAAAGGTGTCGAGAACCACAGCATTCATATTTAGTCGCCCTACCTCTTTTCATCTACATTTTATTATGAAAAATTGTAGGCATTCAGGAAAGTAACCTACTTCTCTTTTTATAAACTACGAACTCTCTCAAGAAATGACCTTGTGAATTAAAATCAGAGTTTGGAATCCAGACATACGTGATCTGCCCTGATAGAGCTTGTGTCCAAAGATGGCTAAGGAATAAACGTGTGAAGAATACTAAGACAGTGAGGGGGGAATAGGGACCTATTCTTCTGACTCTTTCCTACGAATCTTAGAGGAATCTCTTAACTGCCTTCTTGTTCTCATTCTTAAATCGTCAGTTGGATTGTATCACTCCCCTACTTAACACTTCCCAGGAGCTTCGCTTCACACTTTGAATGAAGTCCAGGGCTTATCAAAGCCCTATATGATCTGGCCTTTTTGACCTCATATGCTATCGCTCTCCATTCCCTACTCTCCTTTCTGCCTGAACACTGATCCCTTAGTTACTTGCTTTTTCCCTCAATTTATTCATGTCTCTTCTCAAATATGACCTCTTCGATCAGGCCTCTCCGATCACCTGATCCAGAACAGCCCTTTGTCACTCCCTGTTCTCTGACCTGCTTCATTGCACTTATTACTTGGCATTATATAGTATATATGTGTGTTGTTGTTGTTGTTGTTGTTTTTTAATTGTCTATATATCCTCCACTTGAATATAAGCTCTGTAATGACAAGAAATTTTGTTGTATTCATGGCTATGCTCCTGTTTGGCATATTGTAAGCAATTAATAAATAATTGTTGAATTAATTAGATAAATGGCACAAATAAGGCAATGACTCCCATAAGGGTTGCAGAACTCTTAGCAAAATGCTAGAAGTCCTTTTAGGTAATTCAAGTCAATCAATATTTTATAGGTAAATGATGATCCTGGAGATCAGTGGCCTCTTTTATCTTCACAGCACTTCTAAGCTGAATCCTTTGCTAGAAGCTGGGCTAGTTTTGACAAATTCACATCCCAAACAAGATAATAAAAATTTCAATCTCATAAATTTCCCCATGCCCCTTCCTAGTCACTCCCATCATCCAGAAGCAACTTTTGTTATGATTCCTGTTATCGTAGATTAGTTTTACATTCCTGAACATCATAGAAATGAATTTACACATGGTCCGTACTTTTATGTCTGGCTTCTTTTTGCACAAGATAATGTCTGTGATATTCAGTTGTTGTTTTTTAGTATATCAGTTCTTTTTTTTTTTTCATTCCAAGATGAATATCCACATGTGTTTATTCATTTCCTTATCGATGGAAACTTGTGTTGTTTCCATTTGGGGCCTATTTTAAATAAAGCTGCCCTGAGGATTCTTCCGGGATCTGCCTCATGTTGAGTCCTGTGTGCTTTATTTGAAAAGCTGCTATGTGCCCCCATGCTGAGAGAAGTACAGCAAAGTTATGGGGCTGTGACTGGTGTGGCCGCCTGCCTGAATCCCAGCGAGTGCCTTTCCCAGACAGCTCTGTGGTGCTACCTGCCTCCCACTCTAGAAAACGAGTGTCCCTGCAAATTGGAGAGCCCTCGGGTGCACTTTCAGTGTTTTTAGATCCATAAAGAGACTGTAGAATGCCTGCTGCCGTGGCTGCTGTATTCCCCTCCTCTTTTCAGCTCTCCCCGCCCCCCCACCCCCATCCCCTATACAAGTTGACTCTTATCAGCTACTGAGCATTATGCTATTGAGTTTAAATATTTATGAGTAAGAGTCTTGTTCAGAGACTGATAAAATATTTATGTGTTTCCATGGGCCACTGGTTTCCAGCGAGACTTCTCAAGGTGTTTTCTGAGATACTTGTCATAATGATGAGGTACCCAGACAGAGGGAGATGATGTGGCCTAAGAACCCCACCTTGCAGAGCACCTTGCTTTCTAGGAATGGGGAATAGTGAGCACACAGAAGAATGTGCATTCATAGTGTCTGGATCAAGAGAAAGACTGCATATGCTGTTGGAAATGAATTGGGAAAAAAAAAGGGGGGGGGGTGTTTACAAGTATATTGTGTTCCTGAAGGTATGAATCCAGAGGGGACCATGGGGAAGAGCTTGTTAGAGGGAGGAGAGACTAATTAAGCGGGATGCATTAATCCCAAATAGAAGAATGACGGAATCAGTCTTGTAAAAGACACCGTTTTTTGTTTTTTTTAAAAAAATATTTTATTGATTTTTCACAGAGAGGAAGGGAGAGAGATAGAGAGCTAGAAACGTCAATGAGAGAGAAACATCGACCAGCTGCCTCTTGCACACCCTCTACAGGGGATGTACCCGCAACCAATGTACATGCCCTTGACCGGAATCGAACCTGGAACCTTTCAGTCCGCAGACCGACGCTCTACCACTGAGCCAAACTGGTTTCGGCAACACCGTTTTTTTTTTTACATTGATATAGACAACATCTATATAAGACACTATGTTGAGTGCTATGATCAAGTGATCACACCTGCTATGAAAATATGGGGAAGGGATTGGAGGCTAGCCAGGGTTTCTAGGTGGGGGGTAGAGAGCAAACTATTTCAAGAGGAATTGTTATTTTCCTCAAAGGTAGAGGTTCCTTTGAGTCAAGTTCTGAAGGAGGTGTGGCTCTTTGGCAGCAGTAGTGTGGAAGGGCATTTATTGAAAGACAGAATACCTTGAGCAGGTATTTGAGTCATAGTCAAAGTGCTGGTGTGGTCTGAATAAGGTGAAGAGATGAGGAGGGCCAGGGGAGGACAGGTTTGCAATATGAGATAAAGGCCAGCTTGTCAAGGACACTACAGTGTGAACGAACTTTAGTCTGTTTGTTGTAGGGAATCACGTAACTTTTGACCAGAATTGGGTCAGATTTTGAGCAATTCTTGGGAGTTGCAGCCAGCTCAGGCAAGGCCTTGAAGTCTGCTTATATCCAAGGCGCTTTCAGAATATTCTCCTGTGTCCAGTGTAGTCTAGAAACATTGTACAGTCTACTTTAAAGGAGGTAATCAAGAGGGGGGTCAGACTCATTCATTGTATTCCTGGAATTGGCCAGAAACAGATCTTACCAGCCACCTTCTTGCCCCCCATAACGATGTATGTCACTCAGAATGTTCCAAGTCACACTGAATTCATAGGCAGTATGCTCCATCCTCCCTCCAGTCTCTGTCATGGCCATTTTGCCTCGGTGGAGGGAGTTAGGAGAGTCTAAATACTTCTCTAAAACCTGAACCCAAACTGGGTCAGTAGACTTTAGATGTGGGTTGGTAAACAGAGGACTAAGAGCTAAGGCTGGCAGACTATCCCCGTAGGACTCAGACCCTCTTTGACTAAGCTACTGGTTAAAGAGGGTTAAGGCCCGCAGACTGATAACATAGATAGGACCCCCCAGCTACCTTTCCACATGTTCTCTTTTCAGACTGTAGGTTCCTATTCAAGAGTGCCCTCCCCCCCCCCACCCCCATCACTCCAGGATGTTTACTTTTTAACTCCTAATGAAAACAGGGAGGCAGTGGAGAGGGGTGTTA